TCGCATCAGTGGCCGGCTCTCTGGCTGTTTATCTCTCCAGGCTGCAGGGTACAGGCTCTGGGTTGTTGGGTGACTGGTGACAGGGGAAAGCTAGGCTGTTGCTGAAGGCAGGAGGTGCTCTGTCCCCAGGTGTCGGGGTTGGCCTGGCCTGGGCATGGATCAGGGGTGAGGGGACGGAAGCCAGGTCAGATCCTCCCAGGCAAAGCTGACCTCAGTTCTGCAGGTGTTAGCAATGTTTTATACAAAAAAAAAAGTCTTCAAAGTCAGCCACTTGGGAAAAGCTGAGCTTAAAAAATAAAGATTCTTTACTGTAGAACATTCTGAATCTTTTAATAAGCTCTATATACACCAGCAATCTCCAGACATGGGGGCCAGAGTGTAGTATATTACCTACATTTCTTTGGCCACGGGATCATTTTACCTTTTCCACCAAAAGCTTCACAAAGTCACAGGGCCATTTTCTGAGAGATAACTTTGAGTTCCCCTTAGGTGACAACAGGGGCTGGGCCATTGTACCCCTCTGGCGGCACCCACTAGTCACGTCCTATCAGGTCCTGGCTGAGTGGGAAAGGGACACAATGTGTGCCCTCCTAAGAATCTCCAGACAGTCTCTGAAGCATAAGAAATGGGGATGCAGGCCAGGTGTGGCAGCATATGTCTATAATCCCAGCAGCTTGGGAGGCTATGACAGGAGGATCGCAAGTTCAAGGCCAGCCTCAGCAACTTTATCGAGGTCCTGAGCAACTTAGCAAGATCCTGTTTCAAAATGAAACATAAAAAGGGCTGGGGATGTGGCTCAGTGGTTAACCACCGCTGGGTTCAATCCCTAGAACAAAAAAAAAAAGGAAGAGAGACCCCGGCCCTATAAGAACTGTAAGGCTGAAGGGGCAGGTGTGTGGAATCATGTCATTAGGTTCAAAAGGCACCTGTCCAGAACTGCCTGCTCAATAAGGGCCAGATTAGGGCTTTGTGGGACCTCTGAGCCAGCTTCTCCAAGTCCATCATTCCCTCCTGAGCATCCAGGGACCCGTTCCAATCTCAGAAGACTCACCAGACCTGGCCAGGGAGTGCTCAAACACAGCGTCTATCTACAACCTGTTGCCATGCAAGCAAGAAAGAGGAAAGGAGGTCCCCCCCCTATATTCCCAGCTCTGGGAATTGTGCCCAAAGACATAGTAGCCTCTCCATACTTGCTTTGAAGCAAAAAAAAAAAAAAGAAGAAGAAGAAAAAACAAAATGAGGCTTTTACCTGTCTCCTCGTGTCTTCCCTCTTCAGAGACCCTGGCGACATCTGCAAGTGAAACAGGAAGTACACTGAAGTCTCCAATGATTGATTTTCACTCTCCTTGGCCACACCTCCTGCCTCTCATGACTCCGAGGGTGACCAAGAGGCATCATGATGTGGAGAGTAGGGAAAAGAAACAGTGGAAGGAAGGTGGGCTTGGGGTCAGATTGAAAAGGGGCACGTCCATCTCTACGGTCGGGTCTTAGGGTCAGTGGACGGGTTTTCTGCATCAAATTTCCAAGCGGGTTTCTCTACAACTCTTCACATCATTGTGCTTAAAGGTATTTGTAGTTTGGGGACACCACCTGGTTACAGTCATTCCCATGACCTTCCATTCTGGACAGAAATGGCGGGAAATCTGCTCAGTGACACTGATGCTTCAGGATCCCCAGGGTGGAGGGAGGAGCGCGTCGCCATCAGGAAGGAAAAGGCGATCTTGCATGAAGTGTCACCGAGTGGGAAAGTCTCAGTACTGAAACCTCACCACTTTTATCAAGTTTCTTGTTTTTGAGTATCTCAAGAGCAGAACAAGATAGCAGCCCAAACTATGCAAATCCTACAGATGATGAAAGAGGCTTCTGAGAAGTCTTCACTTTGACACCACTGTGCGTTAAGGGCCACTGGCCAGAGGAATGGAAACTGAAAGAGTACAAACAACTTCTTCAAAAAGTAGTGCTATTTTTGAAAGACGGAGTAGGAGGATAGTTGTCCCTTAGAATCTGAGGGCGATTGGCTCCGGAACCCCTCAGATACCTGACGAACCCAGCCTAATTCCGTCTTAAGATTGGGAGCCATCTCGTCACAAAGTCATGAAAAGTAACTTCTGTTTTACTATAAACTATTGCGATTTCTAAACTTGCTTGGAATGCCTGCCCGTGCCTTGAACTCACCCTTGCCTGGTCTGACCAGATACCAACCTCTCTGAAACCCTAATGGTGCCTCATAAATTCTGGCTTTCCCTGACCAGATAATAACCCTCTCTGAAACCTTAGTGGCAACTCAGAATTTTCTAATGTTGGGCTCTAAATATATTCCCTAAGTGCTGAACCATTTAGACCATTAACCTACTACCTGCCTTTGTATCATGCTTGTCAAAATCCTGTTATCTGTAAGTTCTCAAGACAACCCTCCCCACTTTTTGCAACTTTTTGTGCTATAAAACTGCGCCCTTAGAGAGCTGGGGTACTGTTCTCTAACCCACGGATTTCGGGAGAGACAATCCCGGCTGGTTGGAATTACAAGCTTGCTTTAATCGATTTAAAATTGGAGTTAGTGGTCTGCTCTTTGTGTCGTGGTTTAACATTTGGAGGCCTGAGTGAGATCAGACCACCACAAATTCTGAAGCTGGACCTTCGCTCTGGGACTCCAGGCTGGAGAGCCGCTCTAGGGAGTGCGCACCTTGAGACATTCCAAGGCCCTGGGGTGTGACTCCGGTTTATCGGATTGCTGGAGTGAACTGCAGCCCTAAAACACTTAGCAAGCATTTGGTGGAGGAGGCCTCCATAGGTAAGTGGCACCCTTATAACATCTGGCATCCGGTTAAGAGAGATCTCTTCTGGGGACAGAGAGGTGCCTGGCGAGGCACATACACTCCTGTCCAGAACAGTAGCAAAGTGTCGCTCTGGTACTGGTTTGGTAAGGAATTCCTCTGGAAGGACAGTGAGGTACCCGATGGGGTATGCACACACTCCTGTCTGGGAACATTAGCAAGATGTTGCCCTGCTCCCTCGGTTTTGGCGCCTGGTTCTTGTTTTCTTGTGTCTTGTTTTGTGTTCTCCATGTTTTTTTCTGCGTTTTTGTTGTGTGTCTTCTCTAGTAGAAACTTAAGACAATTGAACATCAAAATGGGTAATAAGGCAAGTGAGCCTGACACCCCTTTGAGCTGTGTTTTAAGGAACTCTGGTAAACTTTACCCCCCTTAGTTAAGTGGGATTAGGGAAGCAATGTTTTCTTCCTCTAGTTGGCTGCCTTGAGTACACCCACTACAGAGGGAAATGAATATCTCCCAAATTAACCTGCCATCAGGGCACCCTGGGAACCCCTACCAAAATTAACTCTTGGAAAATTCCTTTAAAACCCCTTGTTCCTCCAGATCAAGAGAGTCACAACCTTTGGGACGGATTCCCTGGTGTTTCTCCTTTGTTAGCAAAGAAATAAACCACCTTTTCCCTTTTCTCAGAACCCTCTCCTCATTATGAAATTGGCATTGATTGGCTTTGAGGACAGGAATCAAACTTGCAGTTAAAGATTTTGACACCCCAGGTGGGATTCCAGAGGAGCCCCCACTCTGCTTTCTTGGGGAAGCCTAGCACTCCAAGCAGCTGCATGCCAAGGATGAAGGATGAACTTTTTGAGAGCTGACTCCTGGAAAGTTGGGAGACATGCGAGCGTGCCTGGGGTGGGACTGAACCAGAGGAGCTATTCCTGTGGGTAAAAGGAGGGACTGAGGGACTCCCAGCAGCTGCCCAAGCCCCTTTTGCTTGGGGGAACCCCCGCCTTCCTTCCCTGCACTGTGAGGATTGCTCCATCTCTGTGTACTTTTTAAAAAAAGGAAACTGAATGCAGTCAAGTTGCCACACTGAGACCCTTGGTTTTACACTTCTGGTTCCCCCTTTGTGAGAACATCTGGTCCAATCGTGGGAACATCTATGGTGCCACTGGTGTGGGAGTCGTGGTAAATGGGAGTTGGAAACTTGGGGAGATTTTTCCCTTATCTGGTCTGTTTTAAAGGCTCCTGTCTGTCAGCCATAGTTTGGAGCTCCTTTCTGTCTGTCTGTCATTGTCTTTGTATCTGTTTCTGGCCCTTCAAGACCTAAGCACTGATGTGTTGATATTATAGATTGTTTCTTGGGAATAATCTTGGCTGAATGGGCTACTTATAGATGTAAATGTGTCTAAGAAGATGATGTTTTACTGTAACAATCTGGTATCTGAATGGGTTTTTGAAGCACGGTACATTCTTGCAGTTAAAAGTTGGTTTGTCAGAGATCAAATAATTAATAAGGAGTCTTAACAGTCAAAAGCTGAGTTGGATGCAAAGGTGCTGCCTCTAATTCGTGAGCACAGCAGGACTCTCAGGAGGATCCTCCCCCAACCATAATTCAGCTCCTCTTTATCCTCTCGCCACTTTCTTTCTTTCTGGAGGATGATATGAGCACCCGATGGCTACTTAAATGCAGCTAATGCAGCCCCAACTCTTGGAAATTCAGGAGAAAGGTATCCCAGCCTAGGTAGCTCTCAGTCACCGTCTACACAGAGCAGGCGTGTTGGGCTCTGCCTTCTGAAGCCGTTTCCTACTTTTCTGTCCAGGCCCAGAGAGCAGTGGTCGTGACTACACAGAGTCCAAGTTCTGATGTACCTTAGATGTGTGGAGGTAACCTCAGACAAACTTTAGCCTCAAATGCCCCAGGTACGCTTCTCCTGCTTCTCTGTAGGGGGCCAGAATAGAACAGAAGTGCCAGCTTTTCCGTTCTCATCTCTTACCTTAGACCTCTTAAAAATAGCTGAACAGCCTATTACCAAAAGGTTTACTCCCCGTGAGTTAGGAGCAGGCTTTGGAGCAAGATTTATCCTGTTTGTCACTGAAAGAGGAAGACAAAACCTAGGAATAGCCACACAAGGAAGTGGACCTGTCAACAGCAAGTGCCTTAGTTCCTCTTAGTAAGGAACTTAACATCATAGCTTTGTTCCCAAAGTCAATAGGAAGTAAGGTATCATAATTTTAGAAATCCAAACCTGTCCAACCACCAACTAGGAAAAAATGGTTAAAATGCCTTAGGCTTGAGGTTTCTGCTCAGAATAACAGTTTTCCCAGCTCCTTCCTGACCTAAGCCAGGACTCACATTGAAATGCAAATGGAGGCGCAGTAAGAGACCAGTCTCAGACCCTAAAACAGGAGAGTAAAAGTGCCCTTTACCTGAACTTATATTAGACTAAACCAAAAAGTAAATTGTATGATACTTTACTAATTACTGGCTGGTCATTTTTTCCAGGATTCTTGCTTTTTCTTAGATTCTGTATAAGTTTTGAGCTCATAATTTTGATCCCACAGACTTGGTTAATGTTTTTCTAATCAGCCCTATTTTTTATTTAACTATGGAGTTTGGAGTTTTTAAACAATGCAATGGAGATTTCACCTGAAAAAAGCTACAAAGCCTTTGCTATTGTGTTATGTGTGCACACTTCTGTTATATGTTGTATGTCTATATGTGCTTATGTCCATATATCATGTACATGATAGGAAAATTGGCAGATATATAAGGAGCACTCATAAAATTTAGAAAAAAAATGAATCCAAATACCTTTATTCATGTGATTTAAAGTGGCTTAATTTAAATTGGGTAAACAGATGGAAATAAATATCTTTAAAATTAGACTTAACTCACAAGTCTCTCTAGGTGGTCAAAAAAATTAATAAAACATTGATGTCTATAACATGTCTAATATTCCTTGGTTCTAGAAATTTTCTTCAACAAGGAAAAATGGCTAATACTGTTCAATATACTTCTCTGACATTTTGGAAAAATAAGTAAAGTAGCTTTGACATGAGATTACTCATTTTTATCAGTAATTTTGTTTGTTAGACATCTGATTAATTTACAAGGTTAAAATGCTAACTGTTAAATATACTATCAAGTACTCTTAACTCTTTAAATTCCATTGGGTAACATTATTGATGTTTTCATGAACTGGTAAATGAACAAAAAAGTTGCTTTATCATCACCAAAAAGGTTTTACTAAAAATTTAAAGTCCCAACAGGCATAATTCTATATACTTAACATTGTATTTTCATGAAATCGTAAACAGATGTAATTCTATATACAAAGGTTTATTGAAGATTTTAATATGCAAAGGCCCAAAAGTTTCAACTCTTCCAATTAAGAGTGATGTAAACAACAAAGTGTTTTTTTAAATGAAATAATTTGTCTAAACTCAAAAATTTACAAGGATTGTTTCATATTGTGAACAAAAAAGGGGATAACAGAAAAGAGAAATTAAAATTAAATTAATTATATGAGTTGGTTATTTTATATATATAATTGTTATATAAACAACAATTAGTCAAGGCTATTTGAAGTTTTTCCATAAGGTCAAATGATAATATACTGATATAAACCAAAGTTTAATCTATATGTTAAAAAAATGAAGATTTCTTAAAACATTGAATTACCTATAACATTGTATTTATTAAGTATTGGGGTTTCTTTGAGCAAGTAATCTTAAAGGAATTAAGGATTATACAATTATGGTTAAACAACAACTGTTATTTTAAAATATTATGTTGTTTCCTTAAGAGCTAAACTTAATTAATATAAAAATATCAAGGTAATTATGGTGCTACTGCTATTATTTATATATTAAATATGTTCATATCTTCCAGGTATACAAGTTTTTAAGGTAGAAACTTTAAAAGAACATTATATCAAGCTGGTGTTCTCCAAACTAAAGTTGTATGGTAATTTGGGGCTTATAAAGATGATAAACTTTATTGGAGATTTATTTATAACATGTAATGTTCTATAACTGGACCTG